CTGCATGTTTACCCTGTGTGTAAGTAATCACCGTCTTCAGATGCTGTAGTTAGACTATGATTGAACTATATACAAGGTATTCCAAAATTGTGCTGGCTGTTTGGTCATGAACAGCTCTTTTATTTTCAAATCTTTACCTCAATTTCAGTCCTAAGGGCTAGCCTAAACTTCAATTAATTGCCACCTACAAAAGAATCTTGTAACAGCAGCCACTACTGTAGCATTACGTTATAAATGTTTAGGTAGTTCTAGAGATGATGTGGAACAACATTAGAGCGCTTGAAAATTCTTTGCTGAGGTTATTTAGTACACAATCCAAAAATGGTGACCATTTGATACGGTGAGGCTTTGTTTTAAAAGTATGGTATATCTTAACAACAATATAAGCCCATCAAGGAAGACCGTAATTTCTACCATAACCGCCAGCGCTACAAAACTCGTCTGTAAGTGGAAATTTAAATTCAAGATAAGCCTTTAAGCAAAATTGTTTTGCTGCACAGATATTTGGAAATAAGAGTTTGCTAACATATGAACAGCTGGCACATTTTTTGGATACTTTGTATATAACCATAATAATATAATAGATGAACTTAGCGGTCACAGCTTAACACCTGTAAAGCATAAAAAACGATAACTGACCGTCGTTGGTCGATTGCTGCTCCATTTCCTCCAAAGATTCTTTCGGCTGGAATTCGCTTGCCATCTGTGGGTTTTCCTCAATAGGAACAGGTTCATTCTGAGCCGTGATGAATTCCTCTTCGGCGGCTTGTCTAAGCAAAACTTCTGGAGCTGCTGTTCGTTCACCCGGTGCGGTCACATATCCCCATTCGGTTGTAGCCTCCGTGGAAGGTTCTAAAGCTGCGTCCACATTTTTCGAATCCGTCAAAAGTGCATCCTCAGATTTAGCCCAATTATCCTTGGCTGCTGTAGTTTCCAAAACACTAGGCAATATTTTGGTTGTAGGGATCTCCTCCTCCAAATTAACTTCTGGTATAGAAGTTTCAAGCCTTTCTTGATCAACTTTTTTGAGTTGTGTTTTCGGTATCATTCTTATTTTTTGTGGAAATCCCTTTTTCGGCTTACTTTTGGTGGTAGCGGACTCTTCCTCAAGCTCCCTTTCATTGCGCATTTCTGACCTAAGGCGCTTAACCTTTTTCTTACGGGTTATCGTTACATTGAGTGGCAGGTTTCCAGAAAGGGGCACACTCAGAACAAGGGGGTTTGAGTTTATAGGTGACGCCTCAATGTTCGCCTTCCCCGTAGAATGAATGGAAGGCAGAGCAATAATAAGGTTGCGATCAGAATTCCCTCCTACTGTTAGATTTTCGATTTGGGGGAGCGCATACCAATGCGACGTTGGAACTTTTGGCCGTTTAATCAATGTTAAAAACACTGGAGTAGCGCTAAGATTGCCAGGTCTGATGAATCCAGTAACATCTATCTTTTTGATTTCCTCTTGATCTGCGATCGTTGCTGAAGTACCCACAGGAGACTCGTCCGTTGTTGGCAAATTGGCTAAACTAACATTCTGAGCCAATGCATCAGTGGACTCTTCCTTCTTGATATCTCCTTCTTCGAGATCTTCTAAAAGATCCTTTTCTTTGAATTCTAAAGGCTTAGGAGAGACGTGGGAGAGCTCTTTGGCTGAAGCGGACTTTTGATTCAAGGTTTTGTCGTCTCCTGGGAGAGGAAAGTTCGATGGGAACTCTTTTGTGTGAAGAATCTTTGGTGAGGGGAAGGTTTCTAAGGTTTTATTCGTGGAGGCTATTTCTAGACTTCTGTTCGTTGGAATAGGGAAATTGAGCGGAAATTCTTTGTCAGGTAGAGTCTTTGGTTTTGGAAATTTTGACAAAGTCTCATTTTTGAATACAATTTTACCCAGTGGCAGACTTCCGTTCCCTGGTATAGGGAAGCTGGTAGGGAATTCCTTGCTCTGTAAATTCTTTGGTGTGGGTAAAGTGTCACTTATAGGTAAGATTTCCTGTATTGGTTGCGTGGTAGCTC